AGGGTAACCAAATTTGGTTTCTAGACTCATGTGATATCACACTGCTACAAGTGTATTTCAAAATTTCGCCCAGCCCCCTTCCGCCACAACAAAGGCCGAAAATCTGTGGCAGTCACAATTTTAAAGATACGATAAAACAGTATCGTAGAGAATGCCCATATCTACCAGATTGCCGAATTTGAATCAGATCGGATTATAATTATAGCCAGAATGAAGAAATTAATTTTCTGTTGCTTTCCCCGCCCCATCTTGCAAGAAAACCAACCGCGTTCAGTGCGCGAGCAACCCCTAGCGGAGGAGATGTAGAATCTACATGTTCGATGTAGAATATACATTGTAGATGTAGATGTAGATATTAGATGTAGCAAAAAAATGTAAAAAAGAAAAAAAATTTTAATTCTAAAAAATTATAAGCTCAAAAATGTATATACTGACTGAGTACGGGTATAAGTAGAGTCGCGTCCCCAGAAGCGACTCACACGTTCCTTCTCGTTAGTTTTAGATAGACGCATTAATTAGGCGTCGTTTAAGGTATTGTTCATTAAAATTTATGGATAAACGGTCAACTTGCAGCCGTTTGACCAAAAACAACCAATAACAGACAAAAAAAATAATGTACTACAAAAATTTTTAAATCCAGAAATCTATCAGAAAAAAATCATTTTGGTCCAAGCCTAAATAACACTTTATTTTTGGAATTCCTCTTCAACGCAACAACAACATATGGTTTTATCACGCTGCGCTTTGTGCGACATTCGCTCGGCTGCTGATGGATTGGATGGAGATGCTCTTGCTGACGCTCTCTTTCTCTAGCGTCATCATCACAACAACAAACGCTATTGCATTGCTTCGTGTGCTATGCTTACGTCGGCGCTGCCCTCGACACTTGGGCAGAGTCAAAAGCTCGGCGCTCGCTCTTAAGTGGAGCACTCCCTTTGGCGCCTTCTGTCAGCACTATCGACAAGATTGAATCTCCCTGCCGCGCTCCCGCCCAATCTTCTGGATGATGGTGATAGGCAGGCTTCACATGAGGGTGGCCCCTATAGCTCAGTGGGACCGGCCTGGTCCTGCTCTGAAGCCTCCTCCCGTGTTCTCTGGCCGAACGCCATTGCCACTTTCTGCGACCGTGCCTATGGACGCTGCTAAGTCCCTACGCATATATTTCCAAAATATAGCTGGTATGCGCACCAAGGCCCAGGCTGTCTATTTGGCAACCTCTACGTGCGTCTTCGATATTATCATTTTGGTTGAAACTTGGCTCTACTTAAATTTCTTCGACAATGAGTACTTCGATCCCAACCTTTTCCAGGTGCTTCGTAAGGACAGAGACTGGTCCAAAACGAAGCTCTGCATAGGAGGTGGGGTCGTTGTGGCCGTTAGACGTACCCTGCGCTGTGATCCGATCCGTCTGATGGAAGACGACACTCTCTTGGATCAGATTGGGGTGTCGGTGGCCGGTAAGTCGAACACACTATATGTCTGCGCGTCGTATATCCCACCTAATAGTGGGTATGAAATCTACAAGCCGCTCAACCTTAATAATATTGTTAACAATTATAACAATCTTCGAGACCGTCAGCAGCTCTGCGTTGTTGGCCACTTCAATCTGGGTTCGCTGGTATGGACCGCCGATCCTCAATCGTCGGCTATGATGCCGAGCAATGTGCACTTGCCGCAATAAATCCTTTTTATAGACGACTGCTTTAGTATGGGGTTACCCCGAGTAAATAATATATTCAATTGGTTAAATAAGATTCTGGATATAGTTTTTGATAGTTCGATATCGATTGCTGTGGTACATGTTGCGAACTGCCTATTGCAAAATGCGACATGCATCATATGCCATTGGCTAAATTCCATCGGTATTTGCCCTGGGCGGAACGATATTCTTATTATTTCTTTACTGATATAAGTCTGAATGTTATTCGAGATGAAATGTCGAACATGAACTGGTCTTCTGTTCCCTCGCATCCTAGGGCTGCAGGTGCTGTTCTCACGAAGATATAAAATACCGAGATTCAAACTACCAGCAATTGGTGGAACGACACTCGTGTTACTGAGCGAAGCCAAGTATTTTGGTGTCATCCTTGACTCCTAACTCTCCTGGAAGAGAAACACGGAGAAAAGGAAGAAAAAGGCAATGGCAGCTTTCTACACCTGTAGGAAGACTTTTGGACGAACATGGGGCTTACAGCCGCGCATCATCCATTGGATGTATACAGCGGTAATAAGACCCTTCCTGACATACGGAGGCATGGTATGGTGGGAAGCGGTTAACACCAAATCTCACCTGTAGAACCTCCGTCAAGTCCAACATGCCTTGGGGTCACCGGATCTCTAAAATCCACCCCACAGGCCGCTCTGGACACCATGCTAGGCCTGTAACCGATAGACCTCCATCTTAAGTGCAAGGCGGAGATAAGTGCAGCTAGGCTACTAGCCGCGCAGTTATTCAAGCCATCGCCTTATGGTCCTGCCACTATACTCCGTGAGGAGGAAGGTGGAACGGCCGGGAGTGACTACTGTGTTTCAGAGTTCCCATGGAAAAGAAACTTTAAAGGACACATACCGGACAGGGAGAAGTGGAAGAGTAACACGGCCCTGGGGCAGAACGAGTTCTCCATTTTCACCGACGGGTCAAAGACGGCCGAAGTGACAGGAGCTGGAATCTTCTCTGAGGAACTAGCAACCAACATATCCCTAAGACTACCAGACTGGTGCAGTGTAGTCCAGGCAGAGATATATGCAGTTTGGCAAGCGGCTAAGTTTGGTATACACCTTGGAGATACCTCCGAGGAACATAGCAATCTACGTTGACAGTCAAGCTGCCATCAAAGCCCTGGTATCCTGTAAGACCACAAGCAGACTCGTACATGATACGGTGGACGCACTAAACCAGATCAGCACGCACGAATGTGCCAGAACTGGATCGGCTAAGCCAATGGCGCACGCAGTCAGCGACATACGAAGACCAATACGAGACATCGTCTCGCAGATGATGGGAGATCGGACAGGAGGTGGAACACCACACCCAACCCAACTGTGAGATCTCTCGCTCGCATTGGGCTCACTATGACCCTAAACGCACCAAGACTCTCCTAAGCTTCAGGAAGAGTCGGTTGCGAACACTGACGGGAGTTATAACGGGGCACTGTCATCGGCCACAAGGTACAGATTGCCCCACCATGACTTCTGCCGCAGCTGCAGGGACGAGGAGGAAATAGAGAGCATCCAGCACCTCTCTGCAACTGTCCTGCACTCATGGGGAGGCGTCACCTAATACTCGGCGGCGCCTTCTACGAAGACCTGGACAGCCTGGCAAACATGCCTCTAGAGAAACTGGTGCTCTTTATAGAGGCCTAGGGATGGTTTGCGAAACCTCCCTAGGCACCGGACAATATCCCGTGACGAGTGTGGGCATCACAATGGGCAGACTTGCCTCCGATTGACCTCAACTTCGGTCGAGCAGCCCTATAAACCTAACCTAGGGCTCCTCCTAACCATGGCTCCTATGTATTGGCTACAGTGGTATACTAAGGGTCTTGTGAGATATTAGAATTTACGTAACAAGTTTTATAAACGTTTTGGTAGGACGCGTCACCCTGTTGACTGGGCGAGGTATGTGCAGCATAAGCGCGAGTTTACCTTTCTGAGTAAATATTTATATAACACTACTCGACAAAATCGAACTTTTTTTTTCCTCAAGGATCCAAACCGACTTTTTCTGATAGATATGGGGATTTAAAATTTTTTAAAGAATTATGGTTTTTTTTTCTATGGCAGAACTTTTTTTTGAAGAATTTTTGAAGTCTGGTATTTTTTTTTTAAGCTTTTTTCAGAGGTAGCGCTTGTTTTTTTCACATAGCTCTAGTATCTTACGTCTGGTTGTAAAGATATTTTGAAAAGATAATTAAAACAGCTAGAAGTTAAGCCCAAACACTTTGTGATTACAGCTTACCGTCTGGGAAATATAAAGCATTGAAATGCAAAAATTATGATTTTTGTGGGGTATTTTTTACGAAATTTTGACTTTAAAAACTCAGGAAAAGTCGAAAAAAAATTATATCTTGTGTCCTCTATTTTTTTGTGTTTAGGTGCGTTAATTTGGCGTCGTTTAAGGTATCGCTCATTAAAATCTATGGAGAGACTTTGGAGCTAAAATTCGTTAACCAAACCTAAAATATGGAAAAAATCAACAAAAAATACCTTTTTGAAGGCGGCGGGCCCAACTGCCAAAATAGAGGACACAGGATATAATTTTTTTTTCGACTTTTCCTGAGTTTTTAAAGGCAAAATTTCGTAAAAAATACCGCACAAAAATCATAATTTTTGCATTTCAAATCATCAAACCATTTCTAAGCCCCAAATCTTTAAGAAAAAGTTCGTTTTGTTCCTTGAGGAAAAATCGTGTTGACTAGTGTAATTAGTACATTTCTGACGTTGAGAGGGCACTTAATATCAATACCAGGTCGTTTTGGCGATTCGTAAGTTCCAAAAGATCGACGTGCTCTCTTCTTTCTGCTATGAGCTTAGGTAACTTGACTGCAAATAGTGATAGTGGTATTGGAAACTTGTTTGCTCCCTGATACCTTAGATTCCTAGACATTTTTTCACTCATACAAATATGCCTAAGACAAATATATTAGCTCCCATTAAAAAGGGTGTGGATTCAGGTATCTTCAGTACAGTATTTCTTGATTTGTAAATATATTAAATCTAAAAAAAAAACTCAAGATGGAATCAGCTACATTTTGTTGTAATTTTACTTAGATCTTTATAAAGATTTTATTACTATAAAATGTATTACAACAGTATTGAAAATAACATTAATATGAAATAATACATTAGTACACATATGAATATGTTTGCGAATGTAGTTATGTAAGTCTATAACACAAAACCCCATGCTAACGGGTCGTTTTCGTGTTACCTTATATAAATGCAAAACTACTGTAAAAATGTTAGGCTTATATTATTCGTAAATTACTACTACAAACAGATCTTGTATTCTTGATTATTTGTATTTGGATTCAATTGATACACAATAAGTTTTAGATGTTCTATGAATACATACATTAAATCAAAATGAGCTTATGACGATACATTTTAAAATTGACTTTAAATTCTTTAGTACAATTTTTTTAACAGGTGGTTTCTAGCAAAGTATCCGGCTTATGAGTACTTGAAAAGGGTTTTACTTTTTTGGGGGAAAGTTTTAAAGATATTAAGTCTTTACGGCAACTGGCATGTTGCTCTGAAATATTTGTATTTTCATGAAATATTTCTGGCCTGTGTATTCCAATCGAACGGATTTTTTGATCAAACACTTTTTCAGAAACTGGGATATTACGCAAGTCAAAATCGCTAATTGACAACGGAACCATTCTTTTTAATGACGGCTTATAAATTTGCTCTGATAGTCTACGAATATTTAAGGGTAACTCTTCTTTACATTTGGTTGAGATTGTTGAAAAGCTATGTCTAGATTGCAAATTTTCGGCGTGAAGTTTCAAGTTTCCTTGATCATTTTGACAAAAAAAATGAATAAAATTTTCATTTTCAGTTTTACTGGCGTTGTTTGATAGCGGATACGAAATATCCCTTAATTTATCCAGTATAAAACTGCCAGATTTTGTGTGGGAATTTGTATTTAATTTATATGAAGGTGGACCGTTTTGTGAAGAAAATGTGGCAAACAGCAGCCCAGGCTTATCTAAAACGACGTGATTATCATTAGCGTTTTTAATATTATTTAATGTTTGTTGCATACAATTTTTTTTTTTTATTATTTCCGAAAAAGATTTTTTTTTAGCGTCAGAAATTGGTTTATCTTGACAGATATATTCTGTTTGAAACCGTGATAGTTCTAATGAGCAGTCCGTTTGACGTTTGACCCACGGATCGATATTTGGAAATAAGTGTAAATGTTTTTCGTCTTTAGAGGAAATGCTATGGTTAATATCGGTTTTTCTAATCCATGGATTCGAAGGATATAGCAAACAGCCAGTACTTCTTTGCTTGGTATTTTGATCATGATACAAATCATATAAAAAATTAGCTTTGTCCATTTCTATATTATTTGGAGAAGTTTGCTCGGATTTGCTAATTTTTTGAGAAACATGACATGTTAATTGATTGTCTGGCTTTATAAAATATGGGGTTATCACTTGAGAGCCTCCGTACTTTAAGGAATTGATATCGTTTTCTTCATAAATCATCACGGCATGTTGAAAGGTATTTTTTCTATTACACGGCATTTTCGAACATAGTCCTGATTTTGCCTTTCCAAGTACACTTTTTGGTTGATAACATACCTGTGTTGGCCCATCCGTGCCTCTGTTTATGCTATTATCTTTCGTGGGAAATATTTGGGACACAGTAGAGTCTTGAAATTTGGCAATGCTTATACCGAAATGTTTGGCAGTATCAGATTCTAAATTTGTTTTTAAAACATCTGCTTCTTTTGATTCGGACCCATTTGAATTTACTGATTTCTCACAGCTGCAAATTATTGTTGATGACATGGATGAAACTTGATTGACTGCGTGGAGGGATCTGCTTGAAATAGCTCCCTTAACATCGATGGAATTGATTTTTTGGGACACTTTGTTATTTAAATATCGATCGGATAGTTGAGTATGTTGACTATTCATATATAAATTTGCATTCATCGGTAAATGTGGAAATAGAACAGGAAGTGTCGGAGAAATATTTGGTTGTTGTTTTAATCGAGAAACCAAAAATCCATTTGATTTCATACCGTTAATTGGCTGACTGCCATCTTTTTTAGTTTGCTTTTTGTATACTTTTTGTATATTCGGTAGCTCGGGGGAGAATGGTTGGGCTTCATAATCAGAGCCCGACTGTTTTTGCTAAAGAAACTTCTGTTGATGAGTTTTAGCGGAACCCTGGCTGAAATTCGGCGTACCTGGAAATAAAAACGAACATACTGATCAAATACATATGTACAACATAAATATACTCAGAATGAATTAATTAATTCCACGATTGTACCTTATCCCACTACATATTTACATATGTTATCCGCTCATTATATTCATACAATCTATATTTAAAAATAAAACTGCACATAAAGGATATACAAACCAGCTGTTTTAATTATCTTTTCAAAATAGCAAAGTTCTTTACAACCAGACGTAAGATACTATAGTTATGTGGAAAAAGAAGCACTACCTCTGAAAAATTCTTCAAAAAAAAGTTCTGCCATAGAAAAAAAACCATCATTCTTTAAAAATTTTAAAGTCCCATAACTTTTCTGAAAAGTTGGTTTGGATCCTCAAGGAAAAAAAAGTTCGATTTTGTCGAGTGGACATACGGCTCCGAGTCCATCCTAATAGACTTGCGCAGTCTTTAACTTGGCACACTAGCCATACACGACTCCGGCGAAGAGACCTTCCCACCCAGCAATAATACTTAGCTAGGGACGTACTCTAAGTAATTAAGTGTAATTAATTAAATAAATATATTAGGCTAAGATTTGTATACTTGTCGTAAGTCTCTAATAGGAAAGATTCGATAAATAAAATACCGTAATAATAAAAATAAAAAATAAATTTTGTCGAGTAGTGAGTAATGAAGTGGGTCATACATTTTTTTGAAGTCCTGTGTGTTTTAGAATTAGTTTTCTACGCAATTTCTACTAGATTTCAGAATGTTTCGATGTTTATTTTGCTGGACTGACCTTTTTTAATTTTTTTTAAATTCAGATAAAGGGTTGGGTGACTGCTTTCATATAAAAACGTTAATGATGTGCTTAAGATTCTTGATCGGACTGAAATCAGGACCATTTCCCGGCCAGTCTAATGTCCTAAAAAACTCAACGTTTTAAAAATCAAACTTTTGCAATAATTCATTTCACAATTTAATAAAAAAGCTAAAGAAAATATTCTTGACCAATGTTGCACTGTGGAAAGGAGCAAAATCGTCCTAGAAGATGAGGGCATCAGTATGCGAAAAGTACTTCTCATTAGACGGTATGGAGTTTTTCTCAAAAAATTTAGCTTGAAGTGACTATAAAAAAAAATTTCCAGACAATCCTGCTGCCTTCTTGCCACACCGTGTTTTTTTGTTTTGGGCACTTATTTTTGAAGAGTACACCGACTTTACGGCGATCATTCGTCATACTATCAAAACCAAACTGGTTTATCTGCTATTATTGCAAACATTTCGTTTCTCTAATTTGAGCTTTTTCAGGAAGAAGACGTCGCCGTTTAGTTTTGATGCTAATATCTTATGCCAATTTGAACCGACCTTCGACGCTGAAGCATTTACAAATACTATCCCAGTTTGAAAGTCTTTTTGGGTCGTCGAACAAAGTTTTTCGAAATCCTTTAGAAAATTGTGTGTTTGAGGACTTACTGGTACTCACTCATTTTGGTGGTAATAGCGACAAAAAAAAGAATATTTGACCGCAATGTCAAAATGACTGTCTCTTCGGTTTCAGTTTTGTATGACATTACTTACAATTTTAGTTTTTTTGGTGAAACTCTTTGCTTTTTCAAATGAAAACAAGTTATCAATTAACAACTAATGAATGTATAAATGCTTTTAAAAAATACGCGACTATCTTGGACTTTTTGAATTTCCACCATCGGTTTAAAGTTCGCTTACATGAGTGTCCGGATTTCTGTGCCCGCTACTGTATATACATTTATAGCAAACCTATTTGGATTTCTTTTAAAATAATACATATATTTTTCCAACGACTCCGGTAAAACGTTGCATCTCAAATCTGCTAGCACCAACTTCAGAGCAGAAAACGTCCTCTCTACACTGACTTTAGCTGCAGGAAGAGAGTGTACCCTATCCACTTTAAATCAATTGGGATACTTGTAACTTTAAATTTCCCGATACCTAATGTTCCTTTACTTTGTACAGAGTCAGAAAAACGCGGCACTTGTTTGTCTTTAATAACAACGAGAAGGAACGTGCGAGTCGCTTCTGTGGACGCGACTCTACATATACCCGTACTCAGTCAGTATATACATTTTTGAGCATATGATTTTTTAGAATTTTAGATTTAAAAAAAAAATGTTACATTTTACATTTTTTTGCTACATCTGCTATCTAGATCTATATCTACTATGTATATTATACATCTAACATGTAGATTGTACATGTTCCATTTAGATTCTACATCTCCTCCGCTAGGGGTTGCTCGCGCACGGACAAATTCAGATTCGGCAATCTGGTAGATATGGGCATTCTCTACGATACTGCGTTTTTAGTTCTATCGTATCTTTAAAAATGTGCCTGCCACAGATTTTCGTTATTTGTGTGGGCGGAAGGGGGCGGGGCGAAATATTGAAATACACTTGTAGCAGTGTGATATCACATGAGTCTGGAAACCAAATTTAGTTGCCCTAGCTCTTATAGTCTCTGAGATCTAGGCGCTCAACAAGACGGACAGACAGACGGACAGACAGACAGACGGACAGACAGACATGGCTATATCGACTAGGCTATTGATGCTGATCAAGAATATATATACTTTATGGGGTCGGAAACGTTTCCTTCTCTGCGTTACACACATCCACTTTTACCACAAATCTAATATGGGGTATATTCGATCTAATATAAACATTGCGGGAGAATTCTTTTTTATTACAAAGGCAGCCAACATTTATTTCTGTCAATTATTTCACTTTCTTTATTTTTAATTTTTTGTATTAATTTATTATTAGTTTTATTAATTATTTTTATTACTTTCCAATAACTTAGTTTTGCTCAAATATGTTAATGAGCATGTAAAAAAAAATTTATATTACAAACCATTGTGCTACCTGCCATGTTTTAATTCATTTATACTCTCCCCGATGCAACGACCGAAGAAGTGAACATTTTCGAAACTATCAATAGGTATCGTGCTGGTCATTGCTTTTTATGATACAGCATCACCAAAAAAATGTAGTTAGCTTGGGTTGGAATGAAAAAATAACTAACATCTCCTAAAAGGTGAAATTGTGGTAATGGTTTTTTTTTTCGTTTGTTGAATATCGTAACTATTTTTTCATATAGTCCAATGTTCGGCCAAATATGGCCTTTTTTTATATGCCGCTAAAAAATTTAAATTGGGGAAAAAATATAATGGCAACAAATATTTAATATTTTTTTAATTGATATTTTTAAATTGTTCCTTAAATTATGAAAAATTGTTCTAGCTTAAATACTTTTAGAGAAAAATGCATTAAGCTTTGCCTTTTAAGCACGTTTTCTTCAGAAACAAAAAAACGGCCCAACTCTGCATAGCGAATATAAACGAGAAGGAACGTGTGAGTCGCTTCTGGGGATGCAACTCTACTTATACCCGTACTCAGTCAGTATATTCATGTTTCAACTTATGATTTTTTAGAATTTTAAAGTTAAAAAAAAATTTTTTACATTTTACATTATTTTGCTACATCTTTTATTTACATCTAAATCTACAATGCATATTCTACATCTAACATGTAGATTCTACATCTAACATGAAGATTCTACATCTCCACGGGTTGCACGCGCACTGAACGCGGCAGAGTGTGCGTGCGAGAAATAGAATGAGTAGAGTGTCTCTGGTTGTGGAGGCGGGGGAAGCAACTGAAAATTAAAATTCTTCATTCTGGTTATAATTATGATCCGATCTAATTCATACTCGGCAATCTGGTAGATATGGTCATTCTCTACGATACTGCGTTTTTAGTTTTAGCGTATCTTTGAAATTGTGCCTGTCACAGATTTTCGTCCTTTGTGAAGGCGGAAGGGGGTGGGGCGAAATTTTGAAATACACTTGTAGCAAATTTGTTTTCTCTAGCTCTTATAGTCTCTGAGATCCAGGCGCTCATCGAGACGGGGGTCGGAAACTTTTCCTTCTCTGCATTGCACACATGCACTTTTCCCACAAATCTAATATACCCCTTACCTTATTTTTGAGTACGGGTATAAAAATACAAAAGTTGTTTTACGTAATAAAATTTTGGTTTTGAGTAGCTTAATCAATTCCAAATTGAAGTGTAACAAAAGTTTTTAAAAATTCAACACAATATCCGTCTTTTGCAATGAGTTTTCGGGAAACGAGCCACTCTTCCCAACATATTTTCATAAAAATATAAAAAAATTTGTAAATCGAAAAACATGTTTATGGTGTTTGTCTTGACTCAATTAGGAAGGATATGTATCAATTTTTTCTCAGCTCTCCATGATATTTTCATTATTTAATAAGACTTTTTTTTCTTGCTCAAACAATATTATTATGGATAATTATAATTAATTATTAACTATAATTAAAAACTTAAAGAAAATTATTATTTTGATTTTTAAAATATAGCCTTAAAATAATTACGGTCCCTGATACAAACAATATATGAATTTTTATATTGGTCGGCAAGCGTCTATGGAAGGTGTTACCATACAAGAATTCTAAAGTATAGGGTATATTTAGACAGCGATGTAAAAAAACGTATACATGCAATCAGATCTGGATTGCTTGAGAAATGTGTGCACACATACAGTCGTCGGCTACCGCTGTATGCATGCAAGAGAGGCTCTGGCTCTAAAATTCGCTCTCTCTCTCTCTTGCTTTTCAAAAAAATTTCAAGAGAGCCTGGAGCCAGCTCTAGAGTAGAAAAGTAGTGTAGAAAAAAAATCGTATGGCGTTACGCATCTTATTATTATTTTGTCTTTGGTTTGACCCAACATGTTCGGACAGACATATCAATTTTTTGGTTTTTTTTGTCTATATAGGCTTTCTAAAAATTATTGTTAATTGTTTAATATGGAGTTAATTAATAATTTAAAAGGATTTAAAGGATTTAAAGATTTATTTTGTATTACAAACCATCATTTTCTATCCGTATAGTATTTGTTGCCAAACATTTTCTATTTGATTCTTTTTCTGTAGCAGCTAACGTATTAAGGTGTTTTGGACTTGGAGGCAAACTTCCTTCGACAGGATTTAAACTTGAAACAACTACAGTAGTGTCACCAACACCAACCCCTCCATCAACATTGCTCTTTAATTGTCATTTGATAAGTTCCACCGAAAGAAATTTCCTTAATCGTTCGTAGTATTGTGGATGCAGTTCAACATCATTATGGCCAGCGCCCTGCAATGAAATAAAATATGATATTAGACGAAAGAGAATGTTGCAGCGGACCATGCATTTACTACTTTTATTTTCCAATTCAGCATTCTGGTCGATTTTTCTAAGGTTTTCTAGTATCTTCAAAAAATCTGCATGCCACAGTTTTTCGCCTTTTCTGGTTCGAAATTTTGAAACATACTGGTGGTATATCAGAGGAGTCTGAATACAAAAATTTGGTTTCTCTAGCTCTTGTAGCCTAAGATCGAGGAGCTCATCGGGACGGACAGACAGACATGGCTACATCGACTCGGTTTTTGATGCTGATCAAGAATATATATATATACATATATATATATGATACACTAATAATAAGTAAATGCTTTAGATTTCTTTTAAGTCTCGTAATTTTTCGATTTTTAAATATTGTGAGTTTCCACGCTTTTTTTGCCGCGGGGTGATCATGAAAAATTTTATTAATAGCACTACTCAACAAAATTGAACTTTTTCCTTAGGCTGTGGGCCAAAATGACTTTTTCTGATAGATTTCGGGATTTAAACATTTTTTGTGGTATTTTATTTTTTTGTTTTAATTTTTTTTTTTAAGAATTTTTGAAATCTGTTATTTTTTTTCATGTTTTTTTTTTAGAGGTAGTGCTTCTATTTTTCACATAACTTTGCCGTTCTTAAAAGCTGACAAATGTAGCTATAAATCCCACCCAGATACTTTGTATCTGCAGCTTAACGCCTGGAAGATATGAAGCTTTCAAATTTCATAATTTTTTGCGGTATTTTTACGATTTGCAAAATTTTGTTCGCCAAATTGTTGCATCATCCTCAAATTTTTGTTCTCGGAGTAGGAAACTTTTCCAGCTATTTGTCCTGGTAAATCTGAATATTGACGTCTACGAGGAACGGTCTGAGATGGTATTTCTTTGCCAATTTGAGCGGAAATGGCCTTATAAGACATGAACGAATCATTTTTTGCAAGGCTAACGGTGCTGGTTTTGGTTGGTTGTGAAGATTTCTTCTTCCGTCTTCGATTTTCAGTAATACCGAAGCGGTCAAGAGATTTCGCAATTTCCCGACGACCTTTTCCTTATTTTTTAAGATTAAAGGCAATCTTCATTTCTTCATTTACGAACATTTTTTAACTCTCATGTACTTGTGTGTTATGAAATAGTAGTGCCGTACCTCATCACTTTCAAAACTATTTTTGAGATATTTCCAGTTATCCAAATTGAACAATTTTGGACATACGGGTACTTTTGATTTTGAAACGTTAAAGAAATCATTGCTCGGTCCAGAAGAGGAGACCTAAGAGTTAGACTTAAAACTTAAGGCAGGAGGTATAATGGGATTGAAAACTAAGTTGTATGCACTCTCACTCTAAACCCAATTAACTATAAGAAGTAAACTGAAAATCGATTTTGTATACAAAAACTTCTCTTTTAAAAGATGGTCGGCGGTGGTCGAAGGCAAGACCATGACTGATCATAGTAAAGTTGTATTATATGGTTTACACAGAAATCTGATTACCACCTAAAATCATGAAAAAAATAGCATTGGCCATGCTAGGCTGAGCCTTAAGAGTCCAGCTTACATGAGCTAGTACTTTCTAGCCTGGCGTTTGAGAATAGTATGGTATTGAACGAAACTGTGTATGTAGGCATACTTTAGAATACATTACATTCATATTAGAGTTGAAAATTGTCTATTAAAAGGATATTTTAACCGGATAATGAATTGAAACACCCAGAAAAGCTCTCTAGAAATTGATTTTTATCGGAAAAGGTCGACGTTTTGCCCTGGCCAACTGTCCAACAGGTTATTAATCTCATCGAAATCTTATGCTGGTGCTTCAAGGATTATTGGCCCAAATACTATTGAAGCGTTGGCAAGAGATTAATGACACATGTTCGGCCGGTGCAAGTTCGCAATGAAAACCAAATTGATTAAAAACTAAATATTTAAGCTCAAAAAACATGAAGAACATGAAATATATGTTTATTGTTTATATTTGAGTTTCGTTGTTTTTTTTTTCAATTTTCTAAAAGAACACTACTATTTTATTGAACAGCATATTTTATGGGTATTCGGCTTATGTCTTGTAAAACAAGAAGATGGAACTCAAATGTATGGATATTTCTTCGGGTTTCTAATGCGAACAGTCCAGTCTATGTAAAAAAGTATAATTTGTCCAATTTGGATAGCTGGAAGTGTCTCAAAAAGAGTTTTGAAAGTGATGAGGTGCGGCACTACTATTTCATTGAACACAAATGTACTTTAATATGCAAGCAGTTAATTAAAACTAACAATCCTTTGACTAAATCCTAATCATAATCAAAATTTATACATACCTTCGGTGTAACTTTTATTTTGACCCCACCAAAAATGCCCATCCAGCACAAATTTAAGCTTAGAATTAAATTAAGGGTGCTCCCAACATTCATTTTTGATTTAAATGTTTGGCACAACTGTAATCTTAGAAAATATAAACAATCGGCAGTCATACATTCAAAAACATTGGAGATATTGCATAACAAATCAGCACGATGCCTCCCAATTATTATTTTAACCAGTAGTGTACTTTATAGAGTAGAAAAATGTTTCCACCTGTGCGTCACACATCCACTTCGATCACAAAACTACTATATCCCCAAACTCTTCGAGTCCCGGGTATACAAATTTGGTCAAGGCAGCTAACAGCTGTCGTAGCAGCCTATTGGGTTATCGATACATCGTATTAAAATGTGGTACACATAATAGAGGCATGTGTTGAAAATGTGAAACGCAACAGTATTAAAAGCCACCTCTAAAAAATTACAAAAAATTAAAATAAAAACATGTAAATTACTATTAAATCCAAGGTAAGAAAACTAGGGGGTGTCCCGTTTGAATTTGTGCCTACTGCACATGTTTGCACACTTGCATTGCTCTGGTGGAAAAGATATTTTTCTTGGCTAAATGCTGTTGTTTATATACTTTATATACTCAGTCAGTATATACATTTTTGAGCATATGATTTTTTAGAATTTTAGAATTAAAAAAAAAAATTTACATTTTTTTTGCTACATCTGCTATCTAGATCTATATCTACTATGTATATTATACATCTAACATGTAGATTGCACATGTTCCCTTTAGATTCTACATCTCCTCCGCTAGGGGTTGCTCGCACAGTGAACGCTGCAGAGTGTGCGAGCGAGAAAGAGAATGAGTAGCGGGTCTCTGGCTGGGGAGGCAGGGGAAGCAACTGAAAATTAAATTTCTTCATTCTGGCTATACTTATGATCCCACCTGATTCAGATTCGGCAATCTGGTAGATATGATAATTCTCTACGATAATGCGTTTTTAGTTTTATCGTATCTTTAAAATTGTGCCTGCCACAGATTTTCGTCCTTTGTGGGGGCGGGGCGAAATTTTGAAATACACTTGTAGTAGTGTGATGTCACATGAGTCTGGAAACCAAATTTGTTTGCCCTAGCTATTATAGTCTCTGAGATCCAGGTGCTCAACAAGACGGACGGTCGGACGGACGGACAGACATGGCTATAACGACCCGGCTATTGATGCTGATCAAGAATATATATACTTTATGGGGTCGGAAACGTTTCCTTCTCTGTACCCCTTAACTCTTTTTTGAGTACGGGTATAAAAACTGCGCTAGGTAAAGTCGGTATTTCCATTTTTTAATATTTCTTGTGAACATATTCCAACACTACTATTATAGGTCGGCTATTTCCGGGAAAGCCATAGTACATATGTATGGGAATTTCTCTGATAAAGTCCACAGTAATCAAAAAATTAAAGGTAAAGAAAACACATTTGAAATATAATTCTGCGGCTATATTATTATCTAAATTTATTGAGAGGACTTATTTACCCTTTTGACAAATCATTTCATTAACTTTGATGCGAAAACCTATTCAAATAAGCATGTTTTCTATTACCACAGGGTGGGTTTTAATAACTGCCGCACTTGTTTGACTTTGAAAACAAAATATTGTAATTTTTAATTCCCTAAAACATTTAGGAGCTTATCGAACGATTGTGTGATACACTGAATCTCGTTTCAAGGCAACTAGAAGAGTTGAAATATCTCAAATAGCAGGTAAAAAATGCACCGTTACTGGGAGGGTAAAGATATCAGGGAACAAATATGTAGAGATTGTGTAGTTTTTGGAAGAAAAATGGCTAAAGAAGCCAAATGAGAGCCGTATGACCTTTAAAAACGTAATTCAAAATTAGCTAAGTTCTAGCTTGCGTTAGTAATTTAGAAATAATCCAGAGAGCTCAATCGAAGATTCTAAGAACAATCACTGGGGCACCATGGTTCATACGGAATGAAAATATCCATAAAGACTTAAATGTAGGATCAGTTAAAGATGAAATTGCCAATGTGAAAGCAAAGTATCAGGCGAAGCTTCAGGACCATCCTAATAGATTTGCGAAATCTTTAACCTGGCACACTAGCCATACACGACGACGAAGAGACTTCCCCACCCAGCAATAATACTTAGCTAGGGACGTGCTCTAAGTAATTAAATGTAATTAATTAAATAAATATATTAGGTTAAGATTTGGATACTTGTCGTCAGTCTCTTATAGGGAAGATTCGATATATAAAATTCCGTAATAAATAAAAACAGCAAAAAATTAGCTAGTATGAGGGTCTCATTGAGGGTCATCAAAATATGCAGTAGGAAGAAAGAATTTGACTCTTCGATGACACGCAACACGATAGAGACACACAGTTTTTTTATGCTGCAGAGAAACCACAAATCAGAAAATGATAAGTTATATTCAACAGCATTTCCAACTACTAAGAAAGCAATTGAGCGGTATTCTTTATATGGGGTTTCATGCTGGTAATATTCAAAAGACTGCCGAAACATTGAAGTGTTCCAAGAAAATGAATGATAATGCAAAAGTA